AAGTTTTTCTTCATTACCCATTTAAGCCGTCTCCAGCCATTATTAGTCTCAAAGTGGGTTCCTCGTCATCGAATTCGGTACTTGGTTGATCCTCCTCGTACACTAATAACCTACACAAGGCGACGTGGCATGCTGGCGATGTGGCTATTGATGTAATACACATTGATTTCATTTCAACTTGTCACTAGAAGGCACTGCAACTTAGCTACAGTTGCTAGTTTCAAGTCATTGTTAACAATTTTGCAACTCAGTTCTGCCAATCAGTTTTCAAAGTGATTAAAATCTGGAGACTTTGCTGGCCATGGCAATCTTGAAACGTCCTCCTGGCCGAGATAAACCTGTAAAATACTCGCACTGTGGGCAGTGGCATTGTCATCCTGGAGCACAAAGATATTGCCAAACCTTGCACTAGCATATGACAGCAATATCGTCTCCATATAATCATGTAGGAAGCGCCAATGACGTTTCCCTGGAGGATATGAAGAGCAGTTTTTCCACCATGATGAATAGCTGCCCTCATCTGTTCTCCACGTAAACGACGAACACGAATCCCACCACCAACTTTAAGAAGCCGCAAACAGGACATGTTGCCAGTGTCCTAACAGTAAATTGGCATGCTTTTCTGCTCAATTAACACAGAGACGGTGGTAAATTTTGGTTAATATCGACTTGCAGATAGCCCTTCTTACAAAATAACGTTATTTGGTCAGTCTTCTATCACTGTTCTTTTGGATACTGTTACGTATTAGAATTTCAAATAGCCTGAAATTGAGTTAAATGATATTTTAAATTTAGTAGTTAAATTGTGCTTTGGATTTGTAATATTTGCCAACAAGATTGTTTGTCTGATCAAATGCTACCTTCTCTCTTAATACTCGGGCATTTACTCAATAACTACTCCATGCATGTAGACAATAACATCAATATAGAACAGCATGCAAGTATTTTGGCCAAAACTGTAATTATATTAATTTATTTAGTGCTTTCTATGTTTCTAGTGAACAACTACTGATATGTGATATGACGTTTTTATTGATATTAAAACTATCATATTACAACTAAGCAATTTCGCCAAAACTGAAGAATATAGCTCCAATTAGACCTAGTGAAATGATTTTGAATAGCTAAACATGCTTGTAAAACTATGTTAGTCTCATATTTTATATAAGTTTCATTTTTAATAATTTTGTTGCACTTCGTTACAAACGAAAAGTCTGTTGATTCGTTTAAGTTAATCTTGACTGAAATTAAGGCAGTATGATTTCATGTTTAAAACATTTGATTTGATATTTGTTGTAATATTTTTTCCTTTATTCATTTCATTTGAATAAAGACTGAATTTTTCCATAGGTGTAAATGACTGAAATATTTTATTTTTCTTCTTTAAAGAAAATATATTATATTTCTATATACTAATTAGCTGCTGTAACAAGATGCAGCATTTGCTACAATAAATTTACATCTTTAATATGATACATCAATCTGTTAGCAAACATCGTCATTTATTGATAGAAATAGTCTTTTATTAGAATATTAAGTAAATGTTTTCACTAGAATCTTATTCGTTGAAACTCTTCTACATCTGGTTCTTTGTATTCAATAAATCCCAAACCTACTTTTAATTCGTTTTTATTCAGGATACATTAACGAGCAGTACGGTGGAAGAACAGGACTCTACTTATCTTCTGTATTTGTGTTTCTTGGAAGCATCACGTTATTTCTCATAGACATTCATAAACGGAATGTTGAAAAACGAAAGATGAGTGTGTTTAGTGGGGGTAGACGATGTTCAAGTGCTTGCCTCGACCATGAGACGTTCAGCTGTCGGTCTTCTTTTCAGGACTCAGCGTTGGTACACAACATACCGTTACCTCAGCTTCAGCAGCACAGTTTGACCTTCAGTAACTACATGGACTTGCGACGGCAGGAACTCACGTGCATCTCGGAAGAAGTGGCAATGGAGAACTTGTTTGAGGACTTGATGGACGATTGCATCACTTCCTGTAACAAAGAAGAGAAGTATTTGATGCTAAGTGAATATGAACAAAATTTAAAGAAAACCCAAGAGGGTTTTGAAAATGAAAAACGATCAATAATAAACAGAAACAATTCCTTAGCCAATCCCCATAACTTAGAAATATGCCCCAGCTGTTTGAAGTACATTGCTCCATCAACAGATGGTGGCACAGATCATGTATCATTTACCGCAACCCCTATTAGGCAAAATGAGCAACAGCTGTGTAGTGTGGGCATCATTGAAGAGGTTACAACGTCACTGTGATTCTATAATATGAGAAACTTATAGTTGTGCTATGATAGAGTTGGCTTTATCAAATAATAATAACCAAATCTACATATTTCTATTGATTTTTGATCTAAAACAAATCTAATATGAAATATTATACAAGGCTATAGAAAGTACTTAAGAAGTAATAGATGTTCCAAAGTTATCGTTACCGAGGAAAGCCAACTGTCTTGTTGCTTTAGGTTAAATATCATTGTTATTTTAATGTATATATATATATATTATATATATATATGATGCCCAAAAATACAGGCAAAATAGTTAATTGTCAATTTTATAAATAGTTAATTTTTTTTATTTAAAATTCCAAGGATATTGGAATTATAGAAAGGTAATTTTATTCTTAACCCTCGACGGATAACAAAATTTCAATTTATAGTTACTCAGAAAATCTAAAATAATGCTGAAAATCAAAGCATAAAAGTTTAAAACAAGAAAATATGGTTAAAATTGGATGTAAAAGTTTAGTAATAGAATTCATCGTCATCAGACTCTTGCTTTCAAACACATTTAGTTAATTCTTGTGAGTGCATAATATACCAGTATGAGTTTAAGCTTCACCTGAAATAGATAGAGACATAATAAATGTAGAGGAAAACTCAAAAAAGTCACAGTGACTGATACTAATTATTTTGGTGATGCACTTGATTATTTATTTATTATAATTATTTGTTATATTTATAATTGCTATTATCTTATCAGTTAGAAAATGTTTTCATTTTTAAGCTATTCTGTTCGATACATAACTTCGAGCGTCTCTTGTTTTAAAAATTGCAATGCTAAAATATTACTACATTCCTCTAAGCGGAGGAGAGCGCAGCCCAGTGGTTGGCATTGTGGTATTCTCAGGTGAGACTGATACGGTGAGGAGATACGGTTATCCCAAAACAATGATGAATAAATACCGGCTGAGTTTAATTATAAGAATTAGAAACAGGCTGGACATACAGTGTAATGCACAAAGAACATGAATCATTATTAAACTGAAAACATAAACATAGTGCGTGTATTATACTACTTACGTAAGATAGCTGCATTTTTCGATGTCTCTCAGACTCAAATCAGAGTCAGGATCAGAATAGCATCAGAATCTGAAGATTCATTCTTAAAACTAATTAAATATGCACTTTTATATTGATTACCAGCCTCGCTTTTACCTAGGGAAACTGTGCTGTCATGTGACTGGTTATAATTTTCGCCATTCTCTATTCACCAGAACAAAGACTGTGTCGATTGGCCTTAGTGGCGATTTTTTTTGGTGTGCTTAGTATACCACGAAATTTAAAAGGGTTCTGACTGTTCATTTATCTATTAGAAACTTAATTATTGCCATTATGCTCCAAAAGGCACACACCAAGCTCCAATCAATCCTGGAATAGCCGGGCTGACTACCAGATTTTTTGTTGTCCTCCTTCAAGTTGGTGGCCAAATTCAACTTGGAATCCTCCCGTTTTCTGGAACTACTGATTATTAATTTACTGTTGTTTGCCCTAGAATTCCTGATGTCATGATGATTTAAATTGATAGCTAAGTACGTGCTCTGCCATTGTGGCATGTACACCATAGGAGGAACCAGGATAGTCTTACTCATTCAACAAGGAAACTCATGTAGGATGGTATGTTGGGGTTGAAGTCACTGCAACTGCTGCTACAGGGTGTTCCATCCAAGTGAGTGATTCAAAATTACTACTTCAAATCTATTCATAACAGAATCTCTATCTGTTCTGTTAGTGAGACCCTCAACACATTTATGAATAAGGATATCCTTTCAATCCACTTAAGCTATTGCAGGATAAACTTTACTCTGCAAATGGCTGCCATCCACATAGATGGTTAGGCTTTGTTTTTGTCTTCTCAGCCAGAGAGATCACTTTGTTTTCCATTGGGTCAGACCTTATTGCAATTTGATGACGATTGTTTCACAGTCCTCAAGTTTCTCTTTATTCCTTTATTCATGTACTCAAATGAGTCCATAGATGGACCACCCTGGTTCAACACATACTATTGAACCTCTTGCTTGAGAATTATATTATTCCAAGCAGACACGTTTTTGCAAATATCTGAACAACCAGTGCAGATCATCTTTTGATGATCCTTTGAATATATGAGGAGTAATTTGTTTAACCTCCTTCATGAGGACATGTGGATGAAACTAAATAGTCTGTCTTCCAACCTTATGATCATTACATGATTGTGAGGTTCTTGATGCCACCATTTCAGATCAGATGGCTCCTGAATCTAGGGGACATAGTAATGAGGTATTCATGATAATTCGCTTCTGTGATCTACTTCATCTCAAACTCCTCTGTGAATTGCATCAACATTGGCAGTAAACTTTTCGGCTCAGATGAACATATTACCTACAATTTCATATTAGTGCTGATACAGATTAATCTTAGATCAGGTTATTTAACTGTATGCTTTTTAATTTACATATTTTTTTATTTAGGCAATTGTTAGTCTAATTAGTTAAATGTAGTTTTATCTATCCAGGCGGCGAATCGTGTTCGATATCTTCTAGGTTGGAATTAAAACCTGTTATATATATATATATATATATATGTATAT